AATCCGAGGACAAAAGACCGCCGCGTCATTTCCGACTGCCTGGCTTTCCTCATTTTCGTGACGGTTGTGTAACAGGATCATTTTGTTTTGGGTGACGTGGAAATCTCCTCGATTTGCTCAATTTTGCTACGCTTTAAAGATTTTATTTAAGGCTTGCTTCACAGAGAAAAGTCAGTTTTAATTGACAGTGATTTCTTGACGTCCATCATTCAAAATTGGAAGAATTTATCCAATTTCTTTGGCGGAGTCTGAATGATTTTAATTCCTGCAGAAAATTGTACTTTCTGTCTCAACTTCTTCGTCTAAACCAAGGAATTTTTTTTTTTTCGAAATCGAAAGGGCGTGGTATCTTTTAGTTCAATTTGTAACTCAAATTGTAAAAATACATGCACAGCTTTGATTAGAAAAAAAATTGTGTGTGCATCTTCCTGGGCCTACTTCCATCAGAATTCCTCCACAAAAATAGGAATTTTCCAATGGATTTCAAATGGTCACACTACTGTTATGTAATATGTGAAATGCATGCAGCATTTGAAGGCGTTTGAAGCTGAAATTTCTTTGATCTTCCATTCAATTTCACAGCATTCACAGCTCTGAAATATTTTGCAGTTTGAAGTGCATTTCTTTCATAAATCTGCGCATTCGCCACGTTTTCTCTAAATAACGATGACTAACCTAAGATGAAAGGACGATATTGAACTTGTAGCATTTTGAACATTTCGATTCATATTTTTCTTTTGCAATCTTGTTGAAGTTGTTGCAAACATTTCTGACATCTGGAAATTTAGAAATAATCTGGAAATCTCCGCATTAAAAAAAATTATCGAGAGGACTCGTGAGTTATTGATCTTATTTTTAATAGAAAAAACGCAGAATTAATCTGAATTTTTCGTCGCTTTTCATTCCAATCCGTCGAGTTTTTCTTAAAATGCAAAAAGGAAGAAAATGATCGCGCAACCTTGTCAAAAATTATTCAGGCGACCTAAACGCTCAAAGACCTAAAAGCTCTTTCAAAATTGAAAACAAATACAGTACTTTATACAGAGTTTTTGAAAAAGACAAGCAAAAAAAAAAGTGCAAACGGTGGTTGTTTGTTGAGTTTATGCCGGAGAAGCAAAGCGTCCTTGCGACACTCTTCACTTCGCTTTTTGGCCTGCGCCCAAAAAAAAGCTTCTCTTATACTCTCAAGTCACAGTAAAAAAAAAAAAAAAAAAACTTGGAGAAGGTTCCCATTTGGCCCGTTTCTCTGGAGTGAGGAATGTGATTGAAATGTTTTCGAATCCTTCCCTGCGAACAAGATTGCAAAGCCGGATGATTAGTTCCCGCGCAAGACCGACAGTGACAAAAGTCCTTCGGAAGCAATAATCTCTACTTTTTTGAATTCATGAAGAGCTTTTTTGTCGTTTTGTTTGAATTTATCCGCATTCACTAGCATTTTTCCGTCTTTTATTATTCTGAAAGTTCACCTTCTATCGTTTGTGTTCTCGGGAATATAAAGGGCAAAATCCAATTCAGACAAAGATCTGTTGCGTTAAATATGTTTTCATGTGAATCCCTTGATTTTTTCTCTGAGAAACAGGGATGTCAAACTTATTGATGGAAGCAAGGGAACATTTTCCCAATAAGTCTTTCACTTCCTTTCAAAGGTTACATTTTTATTGCTTTTCTTTCTTTCAGTGGTAAAAGTCCCTCTTCAAGGAGCAGAGTCTGTTGTAGGAAGCCTACAAATTGCATGTATTGAGAATAAAATAAAATACTCGTAAAGCAAAATTACTCATGTTCACTTACTTAAGATCACCTATAAGTACTTGGAGTACTTGGTTTGGGATGCGCCCAGTAAAAAGAGAGTGAATTTAAATTTTAAAAGGTTGACACTTATAGAATCATCACTACCTTGAGGGTTATTGGCAATCCTCAGGGAACTTACTTGCCTGTGAGCCATAAAATTGCAAGTGTACAACAACCACAGCATAAAAAAGGTAGATATCCTAGTACAGGTATACTGTGCACACTCACTGCGTGGCCACTGTGAGGTCCGTGCAGAGGAGCTGGGAGTCGCCCATCTGCCGGTCCGCCAGCAACTTGGAGAGGCTGGAGTTCATGTCCCTGAGGAGGCCGTCGAGATCCGAGTGGGGAGTGTGGAGTGACTGGGCCGCGTCCACCAGCAGCTGAATCGTGGCCAGGTCCTCTTCGATGTTGGACACTTCGCGGAGGAGCTTCTTCAGGTTCTCGTCCTTGGCTGCATCATCAGCGAGGAGAAAAGGCGAGCAGAAAAAAAAAAGGTGAAAGAATTTCAAGATGCAGTTATATTGAGCTTACAACCAAAAAAAAAAAAAAAAAGAACGATCGAGTTGGAGAAACAAGCATTTCTCTTGTTGTGCTGTGTAGGACACAGGTAAATCTAATTAATGAAAGAATGCAGACTAAAAACTGGGAACAATAAGAAATCAGGAATTTATGGAATGTTGTGCAGTGGGAAATCCACGATATTTCACATTGCGCAATCCTTTAGAACATACATGAACATTCTTTTTAGCTTGCGCACTGTTCATCAAATCTCCGAAGCGTTCGGTTGTCTTTTGAGAATTGCATTCTGAATGTGAAATTTCCAAGTCTTGAATTATCTCTTTTGATTGTTTGTTGCAAATTTGAAATATATTAAGTAAATTGCTTGTTCTTTGG